ATCTAATCTACATGGGGAGTAGAAAGTAGAAAAAGACAAGATCTCCTGAGTAAATTGGGGACCTTGGGGGAGGGCTGAAGGGGAAAGGGGAGAGACAGGGAGGGGAGCAGAGAAAAATGCAGAGCTCAATAAATATCAATAAAAAAAAATAAGTTACATTTATGCTTAACATGACTACAAATACATTCTAAGTACATTGAACATATCAGGTCATTTATAATGTAACTAATCATTAACTTTTATGTCTTAATTATCTTTGTAGTAAAAGTTTACAATAAATTACTAGTTCATAAGATTAGGATTTTAGGGCTGGAAAGATGGCTCAGCCATTAAAGGCTAGGCTCACAACCAAAAATATTAGATTAGGTTTTATCATTTTATGTCTGTTAAGATTTTGAGCCTTAATTGGGTGATGGTGGCATATACCTTCAATCCCAGCACTTGGGAGGCAGAGGCAGGTGGATCTACATGAGTTCATGGCCAGCCTGGTCTACAGAATGAGTTCCAGGACATCCTGGTTGACATAGTGAGTTCCAGGACAGCCAGGGCTACACAGAAAAACCTTGTCTTGAAAAACCAGAAGAAAAAAATATTTTGAACTTAAAAATTACATTTTTGAATTGAAACTCTTCTAGCATCAAAATAAACCATAGATACAGTTCATGGAGAAACTGGGCTGTTTTTGTTATGACTCACTTTCTCCCAATGGTTAACGCCTAACAAAGTTTGAAAGGCATAAATGATTAGACATACTTTTTAATTAGACAAATATTTTAAGCCACGTCTTGTTACCATGAATGGATCATTATAACCTTATGAATTTATAAATATTAATCATCAAGCAAATATATCAACCTTAAGTTCATCCCCCATAAACCTTGTATAATGTACTCAGACCTCCTACAACTTGGCTTTACGCTTTTATGGTATTTTGTTGTCATCTTGAAGGGCTCTCTAACAGGCCTGAGCATGGCAAACATAGCACTGACTCATGCCTGAGACTAAGCACCAAGGTCTGACAATCAAAAGTCATTATTTGGCTTCCCTGGCTAACCTGTCCACTCAGTGCTTACCAACTCGCCCAAGCACAGTCTGTCTTAAAAACAAACAAACAAACAAACTCAGATCACTTAAAAATTCCTTTTCTAACTAGAGTATCTTCCTTTGTTTTTATAAGAATTTCTGATAGCAAGAAACTATGGCCTTCTTCCTCCAATTATGTATTTCCTACTCATCCTTGTACTCCCTGGATCTCTATTACTTGTTACATGGTAGGCACCATAGAAAGGAAGATGACATTGGATGGGGGTTGTGCTAGGTGTGCACACCTTTAATCCTAGATCTCTGCAAGCAGAGGCAGATGGATTCCTATGAGTTCAAGACCAGTCTGCTCTACAGAGTGACTCTCAGGACAGACAGGCTACACAGAGAAATCCTGTCCGGCAATAACAACAGAGCAAATTATCATTTTCCAGGCCAAGAGTATGCACTAAGAATCAGACTCTATCCCTTTCCTGCCAGTAAATAGAAAAGGAGACACAAACTATAGGTTAGCTTAAAAAAATTCTGCTCGCAGGGCCGTGGTGGGGCACACCTTTAATCCCAGGAGGCAGAGGCAGGCAGATCTCTGTGAGTTCGAGGCCAGCCTGGTCTACAAGAGCTAGTTCCAGGACAGGAACTAAAAACTAAGGAGAAACCCTGTCTCGAAAAATAAAAAAAATAAAAATAAAAATTCTGTTCTATAGGTCATCTGTGACAACTTTGTCAATTTCACGGGAATTATAATCACCTAGGAAACAAACCTCTAGGCTGTCTGGCCAAGAGTGTTTTTCTAGAGAGGTTTAACTGAGGTGTGAAGACCCACCTTGACTATTGGAAGCAGCATAGGCTGGAACCTAGGACTGAATAAAAAGGAGAAAACAGGTGAACCTTGCCTTTATCTCTCTCTGCTTCCTGATACTGATGTAACAGATCAGCTACTCCACATTCCTGCTTCCAAACCTACCTCGCCATGACAGAGCACCCTAAAACTGGGTGCTAAAAGAAATACTTCTAGCAACTACTTTTGTCAAGCACTTTGCCATGGCAATGAAAAAAGCAAATAGCACACTATCCATTTTATTTTTTACTTTTATTTATTTATTTTGTTTTTTTGAGACAGGGTTTCTCTGTGTAGTTTTTGAGCCTGTCCTGGAACTTGCTCTGTAGACCAGGTTGGCCATGAATTCACAGAGATCCACCTGCCTCTGCCTGCTGAGTGCTGGAATTAAAGGTGTGCCACCACTGCCTGGCCTTCCATTTCATTTTTAAAGGCAGGGTCTCATGTAGTCTAGGCTGGTCTTGAACTCATCATATAACTGAGGATGACTTTGAACTTCTCATCTTTCTGTTTCTACCTCCTAGGTGCTGGAATTACAGGCATGAGCCACCATGACCAGTTTATGCCAATGCTAGGGATTAAATCCAGGGTCCTATGTGTGCTCTCTCTCCTGAGCTACACCCCAGCCCGTTCATTTTCAGTTAAGAAAAAAAAAAAACAGAACCTCAGAAATGATGCAGGTTTTCTAGAATGATGAAACCTTTCGCTGACCAATTTCATGACCCAGTGACCTAAGATGTTGGACAGACACTTATGGTCACCAGAGATCAACCTGGAACAGTGTTCTTGTTGTCTAAGGCAAATGGAGACTGATGGGGTAGACTCATGTGAGAGTATGCAAAAGAAGGCGGCTTTATAAAGAATTATTGTATAAAAGTGTAAAAATGAGAACCTAAGAAAAAGGTAGAGAAACTCCCAAGACAGAGAGGGGTTTCTAAGAGAGGACGAAACAAAATACAAAACAAAACAAAACAAAACAAACTTTAGCTATCATATGGACTATTACCGACCTAGCCAGTAGAGGGCCCTCATATCCTATGCACGCCCCTCTCCCACCCCAGACCCAACCAGAGATGATGTAATCTATTCTCTAGCTGCACCCCTACTTTAGGGGTCTGTCTTTGACTTATGCTATTAGCTGGTCGGACCCAACCTTGCAGATGTCTGGCTGGTTGCTTACTTAGACTATGTTCTCCTTGTTCCCAAATTTGCACCAACAATGTGTAGCTGTTCCACAGCACAGAGTTAGCTCTATCACAGCCCCCAAAGCAGCTATACTCTTTCAAGTTTACCTCCTACTGAGGTCCTTGTCTATGGGGTGGTCTGAGTAGTCTCCTAGGTAGGAACTATGGTTGGCAGCCATATATACTTACATTTTAGTCTATTACAATTAGCAGCCTTGGCAGAGAGCACATGAAAGGACAGTCGTGTCTCACATCTGTTCTTCAAGGGCTTTGGGGGACTAGATGGCTTCTCGTCGCTGGCCCAGAGCCTTGTCCTTCCTGTTATATATTTAGCTTGGATGCATCATCCCAGCTACAAGCCCTGTTACTCATTTCCCTGAGTGCTCTAGACTCTGCCGTCTTGGCTCTTAATCCTTTTAACTCCAGACTCTGCAGTTTTCAACAGGGGCCCTTCCCCCCACAGACACAGAACAAGGCCCTGGATTGCACCGGGGAAGCCTTAGAGATTCAGAGTATCATAAACGGTTAAGACCCAAAGACACGCTTCACCCTGCTACCTCCCTCCATTCTGGGCCGCTCACATGCTAGCTACATTTCCAGCTTTTGTTGTTACTGTTTTTAGGGCGGAGTTCCCCATACAGGCCAGGCAGCCTTGAATGTGCTCTCTTCTGCCTTAGTTTCCAAGTATGGGTTTACATGTGTGATGCTCAGCTCTCAAACAATTCCTGAATAACTTCTGTATTTTTCTGCTTGTCAGAAAAGCATGTGCCTAGATGAAGGAAAAAGGGCAAAGATTTTACTAAGGGAAAATTACTTGTTTGTTTGTTTTATTTTTCTTCCACGGAAGGCTTTTGTGGTTTTTTGTTTGTTTGTTTTGCTTTGTTTTGTTTTTTTGTTTTCTAAGACAGGGGTTCTCAAGGGTGGCGGTGACTCACGCCTTTAATACCCAGCACTCAGAAGGCAGGGGCAGGCGGATCTCTGTGAGTTTGAGGCCAGCCTGGTCTACACAGTGAGACAGAGAAACCCTGTCTTGGAAGAAAAAAAAAAAGACAGGGTTTCTCAGTAGCTATGGAGCCAGTCCTATGGTCCTGGAAGTTACTCTGTAGGCCAGGAGAGATGGCTCAGAGGTTAAGGGCTTTTACAGAGGTCCTGAGTTCAATTTCCAGCAGCCACATTGTAGCTTATAACCATCTGGAATGAGATCTGGTGCCCTCTTTTGGCAAGCAGGCAATATATTCAGGCAGAACAATGTATACATAATACATTTTAAAAATCAATACATATATATTTGGTTTTTCAAGACAGGGCTTCTCTTGTAAGTTTTGAGCCTGTCCTGGCACTCTGTAGACCAGGCTGGACTCAAACTCACAGAGAGATCCTCCTGCCTCTGCCTCCCGAGTGCTGGGATTAAAGGTGTGTGCCACCACTGCCAGGCTAAAATATATCTATATTAATTATTGTGACAAATCCATAGAGCCCTGAATAGAATTTCTATCAGGTCTCCATCTAACACATTTAAACTTCAAGGACAAATTGGGATCAGGAAGATAGGACACGAAGGAAACTATGTTAAAACTAAAAAGCTGCCCACTTGAACTACACTTTATGAGCCTTAAGAACCAAGTGTTATCAGGGCTTGGTGGCACACACTTTTAATCCCAGCACTCGGGAGGCAGAGGCAGGAGGATCTCTGTGAGTTCGAGGTCTACAGAGCAAGTGCCAGGAAAGCCAGGGCTACACAGAGAAACCCTATCTCGAAAAACCAACAGAACCAAATGTTGTACAGAGAAAGGCAGGATAATCCAATTGGTCATTCATATAAGATAAACCAAGAAATATCTTTCCCTTCTCAGCCACAAGGCAAGAAAAGAAAAATTCTTAAAAATTCAGCACTAATGAAGGACATGGTGGCCAGTCAGGGCAGTAGAGATGACTTGGGTGTCCTTTGCAATTTCCCTCACTGTGTCCAATTTCTGGTAGGTTAGTCAATCCACTAGTTCCTTCCTCTTGATTAGGAGTGAAGAAGTAACCACCTCACGGTGACAGGCGCATTTAGGACCCAGAGGCGTGTGGTCATCTCCATGGCGACAGGCAGCCTGATTATTCTCAACTGACCTGGAGACTCTGGAAGTTGCCTGGGACTGCTGAGTGTGAGGGGGCCGCAGCCTACGCAACCGCCTGCCGTGCCGCGTGGGGACGGCCACCCTCGGAACCTTCGCCTCCGGCCCACGCTCCCGCGCGGCCCTCCCCACTCCGTCCACCCTTCCATTATTTCTTCTCCGTTTTTTTTTTTTTTTTTTTTTTTGACCCCTCAGGTGAGCGGGGCCTCTCGACTAAGCCTCCCTACCGTGACGTAACCTGGGAGAGGGCCGCCCCGCCCGCGGTGTGACGTCATCACGCCGCGCGGCTGCCGATCCCGGAGCTTGGAGTACCACAGAGACTGCTCCGCAGCGGCTGGTCCGGGCGGCGGCGGTGGCGCTCCGGCTGCTCAGCCGCCTGTGAGCCCCGTGTCCAGCCCTTCGGCTCGGGCGGCCACAGAGCCCAGGTGAGTGGGTGCGGCCATAACACCTTGCCTTCCCCTTCTGCCCTCAGCCTGGGGCGCGGCCTTTCCCCAGCCCCGGTGCCCCTCGGGTTCGGCGGAGACGCGGTGCGGCGCCGCGGGGTTAGCGCTTGCGGTCTCAGCTTCTGTGGAGCAGCCCCTGTCTGCCCCGGGAGAAGGTTTCACCTGGAAGGAAAGCATTCCGCCGAGAAACAGTTAAGGAGTTTATTTAATAAAGCAGAGCTACACACTCCCAAGCTTAGAGTGGGCTTTCTCGAAAGATAGGTGCAAGCAACGCATTGGGGTCTACGTTGTCCGTTTTAAAGAAGTTTTTTCAGAGGACTAATGAGGTGCTTAGTATATCCGTGCATGGATGTGAGATGACATTCCTTCCCTCCCAAATTATAATGGACCTCATTTCCCCTTGTAGGGCACCTCCCCCGTCCCCCCCCACCCCCCGCCAAGTGATCTTGAAAAAAATCAAACCGCAACACATTGTAATGAGGATGCAGATCCTTCTTTAACGTGTATGTTGGCGATTTGTTAAGTACTCTGATGCCTTGGTTTCTGATACACTGGGAATATCCCAAATAGAGTTTCATGGATGCTCCACCACAGAGGTATATGCTGACCATGGGAAGGCTTAGTGCAGTTTGATTGATTTCCTTGGTTCTGGCACGCGTTAAGTCCCTACCTAACCAGGAGACACAGCCACCAAGATACAGATGGAGTTTTCCGTGATTACCGAATATCTAACCACTTGCCTACCTAGGTCGCTCTAATACTTGATGAAGGCAAGCTTGGCGTTAGCTGGGGGATAACTCCATTATTTTTTTTTCTTTAAATTTTAGAATTCTAGAATGTGGTGCCCCTCCCCCGTTCAGAATGGAACCCCTCTTTTCAAATATTAGCAGTTCTAGAATGCCCGTTCCTGTGCTGGGAGAGAGGTTGCTATCCTGAGGTTATTGTCACTTTTGACACCAACCTTAAGTTCCCAGCCACAAGCTGAGTCCTGTAGCAAGACACCAGGAAAATTTCATAATCTTCAGTTACTTCTGAGAAGTCAGCAAATCCCCAGAGTTTCTTGCAGCTCACAATTGGAACTATGTCGACTTAAGGAAAGGTTTTAAGAGTAAAAACCATTTACTTTCTAGAATCATCCCCTATTTTGTAAAATACATGTTGCAAAGTTGTTGGAGGGAGGGTCGAGAGTGCTTTTGATGTAACTAAACAAAAGGTGAGAACTTCAAACCTCAATTTTACTTTTCAGAAATTCTGAATGTGAACTTTGGAAGAAGAGTGTCTTTCTTTTCTTGGTCCATTTCAGGAAGTTTTGCATCCCAAGTAAAAGTTTGTTTTTATAACCACTTCCATCGCATTCCCCAGAAAGTGTTCTGAGGAGGAAAATAGTGTGACTAAAGTCTGTCCACTCAGGAAAATCTTCTTCTTGTTGCCTTCCAAATACGTAACTATTCAACGGATGCATACAAGCGAACACTGCAATTCTGGTTATTCTCTGATACCCATAGGGAATTGGTTCCAGGAATCCCCAGATACCAAAATCTGAGTGTGCTGGTCTTTGGTTTGGCTTGTTGACATGGAGCCTGTCTGGCTAGGAACTCATTGTGTAGACTAGGCCTCCAGCTTGCAGTGGTCTCCCTCTGTCTTCCGAGTGCTTGGATGACAGGGGATATATATAGCAGCACACCTGGCTCTGAAGTCATGAGGAAGGACATGCATAGCATTTGCATAGACACCGTGCACATCCTACATCAAGGCAGTTCTGGATTACTTACTGTACCGAAAACAGTAAAATTGTTGTTTTGTGCTGGCTGGTTTTATGTCAGTGTGACACACGCTGTGGTCATCTGAGAGGAGGGAACCTTAGTTTAAAAAATGCCTGTAGAAGATCAGGGTGCAGTCAAGCTGGTAGGGCATTTTCTTAATTATTAGTGATTGATGGGGGAGGCCTTAGCTCGCTGTGCCACCCCTGGGTTGGCGGTCCTGTGTTCTATTAAGAAAGTAGGCCGAGCTATGATTCTGGTTTGCTGGTGTCAGCTTCACAGCAAACAGTCAACTCAAAAAAAAAAAAAAAAAAAAGAAAGAGAAGAAAGTAGGCTGAGCCAGGTGGCACTCAGGAGGCAGAGGCACTGGTTTCTCTGAGTCGAGGCCAGCCTGATTTACAAGAGCTAGTTCCAAGACAAGCACCAAAGCTATTCAGAGAAACCCTGTCTCCAAAAAAAAAAAACAAAAAACAAAAAAAAAACAAAAACAAAAACCCAAAGAAATAGTGCACTCCTTTAATCCTGGTACTTGAGAGGCAGAGTCAGGCAAATCTCTGTGCCCTCAAGGCCAGTGTGGTCTACAGAGCGGGTTCTAGGATAACCAGGGCTCCACAGAGAAACCCTGTCTCTAGAAACCAAAAAGAAAAAGAGAGAGAAAGAGAGAAAGGAAGAAAGTAAATTGAGAAAGTCATCAGGAACAAGCCAGTAAGCCATCACTCCATGGGTCTCTGGATTAGCTCCTACCTCCTGGAGTATCAGTTCCCACCTGGTTTGAATTCCTACCTCTGCTTCCCTCAGGGAACTGTGATGTAGGATATGTAAGCCAAATAAACCCTTACCTCCCCACATTGTTTATTTTTTGTTTGTATTCTTTATTCTTTTAAACATTTTTATGTATTTATTTTTATTTATGTGCACATTTGTTTGTGTGTGGATGTCGGATCCCCTGGAACCGGGATTATAGACAGTTATGAGCTGCCATGTCGGTGCTGGGAATTGAACCTGGGTCTTCTGGAAGAACAGCCAGTGCTCTTAACCACCAACCCATCTCTCCAGCCCCCTGTTTGTTTTTTGAGCCAGGCTTTCCCTGTATAACTCTGGCTGTCCTGGAACTCTCTCTCTAGATGAGGCTAGCCTTGAATTCAGAGTTCCCTCCAGAGTGCAAGGATTTAAAGGCATCTGCCACCACACCCAGCTCCCAATTTCCTTTCTGATTATGTTTTTTTGGTTTTTGTTTTATTTTTATCACAGCAATAATAACCCTGAATAAGACAGTGTTATTATTTAGGGAAAGTAATAAAAAGTCTGTGCATGTTCAAAATCAATACTTTTTTAATATTTTGCTCCTCGCTAGGTTGAATCCAAAGATGTAGACTAGTACAATTCCTAGGCAGAAGAGGTACCTTGCTGAAGTTAGCGAGATTGTGGTAGTGGAGCCAGGGTCAGGAATGCTCTGTACATGGCTGTTTGTGTTGAAGGAAGCCCTTTTTTTAGTTCCTTAATTTGTACAGCTCAGCGTGTGTTCATTTTCTCATTTCTTCAGATATGATCTTTCATGTAGCTGTATTGTCCAAGGATCCCTCTGTTCTTCCTTCATAGTGCTTGATGGGCGGCATTATGGCCCCTAAAGACATAATGACAAACACTCACGCCAAGTCCATCCTCAACTCAATGAACTCCCTCAGGAAGAGCAGCACCCTTTGTGATGTGACACTGAGGGTGGAGCAGAAAGACTTCCCTGCCCATCGGATTGTGCTGGCTGCTTGCAGTGACTATTTCTGTGCCATGTTCACTAGTGAGGTAAGTGCACGTCATTCTCTTATGTCATAGAGCACACTAGCATGTGGTGGTGATGAGACTGATCTCTGGCCAGCTAGGTCAGTGTCCCTTTCTTTCATTACTCTTGGTTGGGTAGCTTCTGAAGGGGCTGTTCAGTCGAAGATGTGTCCCACCAGAAGACCATCAAGAGTGTAGGAGTCCTGCTCTGTTAGAACTTCCTAACAAGCTTTCAATAAAAATATAGATTTGAAACCAGAAGCCAGGCGGTAATGGCGCACACCTTTAATTCCAGCACTGGATGTAGAGCCAGAATTCAAGGCCAGCCTGGTCTACAAAGATCAGGATGGGCTACAAAGTTACATAGAAACCCTGTCTTGAAGAAAAACAAAAACAAAAAATAAAACTTTGAAACCAGAAATTGTGTCACATTTATAATGCCGACACTTGGGAAGCATAAGGATCACCATAAATTTGAGGCCAGTGTGAGCTATAGAATTATGCCCATCTCAAAAACACTCAGCAATAAAAAAAACAAAATTAGTTTGATAAACCAGTGAATTTGTATAATGTGTTAGTTAAACAAATGAGCTCTAAAACAGACGTGATAACTTTCTTTTTTTAAAAAAAGATTTTGTTATATATGCAGTGTTCTGCCTGCGTGCATGCCTGCAGACCAGAAGAGGGCACCAGATCTCATTACAGATGGCTGTGAGCTACCATGTGGTTGCTGGGAATTGAACTCAGAATTTTTGGAAGAGCAGGCATTGCTCTTAACCTCTGAGCCATCTCTCCAGCCCCTGGCATCCTCTTTTAAATTACCAATAATCATAGAAAATGAGTATTCCTTCCACCAATGTAGATATAAGGGTGATTTCAAGTGAGAAGTGAATATAATGAATGGCTGTGCAATATTAGCTTAGCACATGCCTGTAATGCCAGCATGAGGAGGTGAAAACAAGATCAGGAGTTCAAGGCTGGCCTCATGGTGAGACCCAGTCTCATAAAAAACCACAAACAAGTACAGGGGATGTAGTTTAGTTGGTCTAGTGAGTGTCATCATACACAAAGCTGTAAGTTCAACACCATTCTTGCCTTCATGCAGAGTTTTAGGTCATTCTAGGCTTTATGAGACATCTTCTCCAAAAACAAAATTAATTTAAAAAACCAACAACAACAAAAACATGACCAGCAAGATGGTTCATCAGGTAAAGATCCTTTCCACCACCAGATCTGATGGACCTGATTTCAATCCCTGGGACCCACATGATGGAAGGAGAGAACAAAGTCTGGCCTTTGTGTGTCTGTCTGTGTACATTCGAGATGGCTAGGCCTATAAGGAGCCTGATGTGACTCCTGAGTTTGATCCCCAGAACTCACATAAGTGTAGAAGAAAAGAACCCATTGGCCTCCACACATGCAGGGCACGTGAGTTGTGAAGAATATAAAGCTAATTGATTTTCTGGTTTAAACTGTTTTATGGTGGATAAGTGAATAAAATTGTAATTGATAATGAAAGTATAAAACCCTAAGGGAAGTGCCACAGCTTCAGAATGGCCATCCTAACTATGTTGGAAGTTCATTGAGATAGAGAATGTGGGACTGGGCAAATGTTTGGCTAATCTGTCTGTGTGATACTTTTATTTGTGAGTTCATTACAATAAAGTGGGTGGTTTCTTTTAAGTTTCTAAAAAGTAAAAATAAAAATATTTGAGCAAATATTTATAAATACTTTTAAGTTTAAGATATATGAATAATTATTATGTATTTAAACTTAGACATATGTCTTTTTCTTTTTTGGTTTATTTTTGTTGTTGTAGTTTCGTTTTGTTTTGTTTTTGTTTTTTTCAAGATAGGGTTTCTCTATAGCTTTGGAGCCTGGCCTGGAACTCACTTTGTAGACCAGGGTGGTCTTGAACTTAGAGATATCTGCTGGGATTAAAGTCATGTGCCATCACTGCCTGGCTAGATATATATTTGAATATTTCATTATGCTGAATTTTTAGTTTTTGTTTGTTTTTAAAAGTTAAAATAATGAGCCGGGCGGTGGTGGCGCACGCCTTTAATCCCAGCACTTGGGAGGCAGAGGCAGGCGGATCTCTGTGAGTTTGAGGCCAGCCTGGTCTACAAGAGCTAGTTCCAGTACAGGCTCCAAAGCTACAAAGAAACCCTGTCTCAAAAAAATCAAAAAAAATAAAAAGAGTTAAAAATGTATGTGTGTTTGCCTGCATGAATTTATGTGCATCATATTCAAGCAGGTGTCCTTAGAGTCCAGAGGGTGGGTGTCAGGTCCCCTGGAGCTGAGTATCAGTGGTGGTGCCTCCTGATGTAGGTGCTGTAAGAGTAGTAAGCACTTTTAGCCATCTCCAACCCTCTGGTTTGGCATGTGTGCATCAGTTTTTGAGACAGAATCTTACTGTATACCCAAGTTGGTCTGAAATATTCCATCTTTCTGCCTCAGCCTCCTCAACAGAGATTATAGGTGTGTGCCACCCATGCCTGGCTATGATAAGACTCTTTAGATTTTCTTTAGTTAGTTCCCGTCACTGTAATGAAGAAGTAGTTGCTAGAAGCAGATAGAAGAGGAAGTATCATAATAACTCTTTTATGTGTCCAGTTACAATGCCACATTTGTCGCACACAGAGCTTGAGCTACATACAGGTGGGCTTGTCTCTGCAGCTTGTGACTGTAAAGCCTGGTTCTCAAGTCCTTTGCTCAGGCAGAAGGCTGGTAGAAATAGAAAGCTGTCAGGTCATTCTGGCTAGCCCAGGCTAATTAAAAAACTGCCTTGAATAACACAACAGCACAGATCTCTAGCCTGTACTGTGTCTATAATGTCTGTCCCCAGAGCATTGGCATTTAGCGGGTAAGCGGTGTTAACCAGAAGTGCTGAGCATGGCATGGGCTGAGACTGCTAGCTGTTGATTGCATATGTCCTGTTTGCTGTCATCTTGGAGAAAGTTGCTGAGAAATTTATAGAGTATATATAACTATAAAATAACTCACTTCTTCTCATACATATTTCATTCTTCTTTTCTTTTTTTTTTCTTTTTCTTTTTTAAATTTTTTATTTTTTAAATAGGGCTTCTCTGCCTGTCCTAGAACTCCTGTAGAGCAGGCTGGCCTTGAACTCGGAGATCTGGCTGCCTCTACCTGGGATTAAAGACAACATGTACCACTAATGATTTTTTTTTTTCTTTGTATGTGGGATTCATCTTGTAAAGAATGTTTTTTTGTTACTCTCTGGGCTGATGGAGAAATCAAAGATGATAAAGCCATTTAGTTAATAATGGAAGTACATAAGATTGTGGTAGGTGTCTGTGTGTGTGAGCACATGTGGGCCTAAGTGTGCTCACCCTTTGAGGCCATTGTCAGATGTCCTTCGTCACTCTCCACCTTACTTTTGAGACAGGGTCTCTTCACTAAACTGTGCTTGTCATTTGATTGGCAAATGAGTGGTGGGATCTGCCTGTCTCTGCCCTAAGGCTCTGAGATCACAGGTCTATATCAGTATCTTGAAGAATTAAAAGATCGTTCTTTTCTACTTCATGAATTTTCAGCTTTCAGAGAAGGGGAAGCCATATGTTGACATTCAAGGGTTAACTGCTTCTACCATGGAAATCCTGTTGGACTTTGTGTATACAGAAACAGTACATGTGACAGTGGAGAATGTTCAAGAACTGCTCCCTGCAGCCTGTCTACTTCAGCTGAAAGGTACAGTCCATAAAATGTGCCCTTATTCATGGCTCATTGGCCCTGGAAGTGTTTTTTATTGATGTAGAATTAACCAAGAGACTTTCAGAGACCCATCTAGAGGCATGACTTTTGAATCTTGGAGCTTGAAAGATCAGGTGTATTTAAGAACAATGCAAAAGAAACTCTCCAAATATGAGTATTTGGCTCTTGTAAAAGAAACATTTAAACTTTTCCTGTTTGTGAAAATATGGAAGAGTCAGGTGTGGTGACTAACAGCAGTAATCTAGCACTTAGTAAGCAGAGACAGGAGGATTGTGTGAGTTTCAAGCAAATTTCATCTATAAAATGAGACTGTGTCTCAAAACCAAACCAAAGGGCTGACGAGATGTCCAGTGGTTAAGAGTATGAGCTGATCTTCAGGGGGACCTGTGTTTGGGTTCCAGCACCCACTTGGTGACTCACAACTCTTTGTAACTCCATTTCCAGGGAATCTGATGTCCTCTTCTGGGCACTGGGCATGAACATGCTACACAGATACATGTGGGCAAAGCACCCATACACAAGAGATAATTAAACCAAACAAAACATTTCCTTAACACATACATGCATACATACTTACATAGTACTCATGTAAGAATTGCCAAGAAACTGATAGCATTTATTGCCTGCAGAGATGCTGTCTGTTTACCTTGTCATTGGTTGGCTGTGGGAGTAGAGCCTAAGAGTACTTGTTGTTATAAACCTTTTTATATCTTTGGGCGGGGTGAGATAGGGTTTCTCTGCTTAACCTGCCTGGTCTTCCTGGACCTCACTCTGTAGAACAGGCTGGCCTTGAACTCACAGAGATCTACCTGCCTCTGCCTCCTCAGTGCTGGGATTAAAGGCATGTGCCACCATGTCTCAAAAATAAATAATTAAAATAAAATTTAAATTAATGCATAACAGTTATAGTTTAATTTTCACTGCATTAATGATGCCCCCTTCCAGTTTCCAGTCTGTGTTTTTTTTTTGTTTTGTTGTTTTGTTTTGTTTTTGTGTATGTGTGTACTTATCTTTTATTTTGGTCTACACTGTATAGACACGGCTGGCCCTGAGCTGTATCCCCGCTGGTCCAAATTTTGTCTTCTTGCCTCAGCCTCTTGAATACTAGGATTCTAGTTGTGGGCCAGGACAACTAGCCAGTCTGTCTCTTTTAACCTCCAATTATGTATATCCACATAATTGAAACATTCTTACTGTTTGTTTTGTCTTGTTTAGGTAAGTCTCACTGTGTAGTTCAAGCTGGCTGTGAGTTTATGATCCTTGGTAGCCTTCTGAATTGCTGGGATTTCAGGCACAAACCACATTGCCCAGTCTACATTCTCCACTTGTAATACAAGATTGAAGTAAAGTGGAACACCCTCAGTACAGAGTTATAAAGTTAAGAATTAAGTTTATGCAAGATAATGTGACACACTCCTTTAATCGCAGCACTCAGGAGGCAGGTGCAGGCAGATATTTGTGAGTTTGAGTCTAGTCTGGTCTGCATCGTAAGTTCCAGGCTAGCCAGGGCTACATAGTAAGACCCTGCCTCAGAAAAACAAACAAAAAGACCTGGGTTCATGCATTGCACTTTTTCTTTTCTCCAGTGCCAGGGACTGAGCCCAGGGCCTGTGCTGAGCTGCTGCACGGGCAGAGCTGCTCTTCTGTTACGCCGCATCCCAAGCGTCTATTCTGACTTCCCCGTTAGAGAATTATGGGATTCTTTTTCCTCACCGGAGAGGTTGTTTGGTTTTCGAGACATGGTTTCTCTGTGTTACACCCTGACTGTCTTAGAACTTGGTTTGTAGACCGGGCTGTTCTCTAACTCACAGATCCACCTGTCTCTGCCTCCCAAGTGCTGGGATTAAAGTGTTTGCCACCATACCCAGCCTCACTGGAGTTTTAAAATAAGTTTGATATAGGAACTAGAGAGATGGCTCAGTACTTAAGAGCACTTTTCTTCCAGAGAACTTGGGTCCAATTCCCAACACTCAACATGGTGACTCACAACTGCCTTTTGCTCCAGTCCTAAGGGATCTGACAAGTATGCCTTCTTTGGGCACTGCATGCCACGGGGCATTTACCTACATGAAAACCTAGTACTTATATACATAAAATAAAAATAAATAAATCTGAAAACAAAACTTTATATAGAGTAGAAAATGAGAGTGTTGTAACTTAGTGGCTGTTTTTAGATGGGTTCCGGTAGCTAAGAATTTACAGTTTCTGATGGCGCGAGTGTCCTGGAAACTAGGTTGGACTTGCTACACTCATTTCAGAGATGAAGCAAAGGCAGATATAAAGGGCTTTAAAAAGTGACATAGTACATAAGACAGAGATAATATTGGAATGCCTTAACCATAAATTTTCTAATTTGTATGTTAAGGTGTGGAGCCAGTGTTCTTCTGATAACATGTAGAGAAGATGCTAAGATCCAAGAATGTGCAGCCACTTCACACTTGGCCAAGTATCCTGAAGTCTGCTCACTGCCTATGTTTGTCCTAGGTGTGAAACAAGCCTGCTGTGAGTTCTTAGAAAGTCAGTTGGACCCTTCTAATTGCCTGGGTATCAGGGATTTTGCTGAAACTCACAATTGCGTTGACCTGATGCAAGCAGCTGAGGTTTTTAGCCAGAAGCATTTTCCTGAGGTGGTGCAGCATGAAGAGTTCATTCTGCTGAGTCAAGGAGAGGTGGAAAAGCTAATCAAGTGCGATGAAATTCAGGTACAGCTTTGGCTTCTGTTACAGTTTCTTTAAAACTGAGCCATTACAAAAATTACAGAGCAGGTGGACTCACTGTGTCCACCTTACGGCTTCATAATCATATACCCAGATTATTGCCAAAGGTTTTAGTTTATTTGCATTTTGTGAAGGAAAAAAATCTGCTCCTTTTCCTTTATCAAATATACTTATTCCAGTGGTAAAGATTAAATAAACAGAAATTGGGAATTAGGTGAATTTCTATGCTATACTTTCACCCACCAGCTGTGTAGTTTGTTTGTCGTATATAGGTATGGTTAGACTGAAAACGGGAGTGAAGAATCCAATAGAGGGCTGATGGGTGTCTTTGAAGCAGGTAGCTTTAATCTCCAGTGGACTAGATCTTTAGTTAGTAGCTTCTAGAAAGATACTCAAAGCCAAGTGCTGTGTTCTATGTACCTGTTGGGTTTTTTTCTTCACTGAAATAATTACCAAACTTCTGTTCTTCAGTTTAGATGAGATACATTAGAAAATATCAGGCTTGGTTTAATACTTTTTTTAATATATATGCTGTAGTAGAGTTTGCTACCTAAAGAAATTCTTTGGCCAATCCAGGTTTGCTGTTGCATACCTGTAGTCTCAGTACTCAAGAAGCTGCTGAGACAGGAGAATCATGAGCTTGCCTTGGCAACATAGTGAGACCTTGTCTCAAAAAAAAAGAAAGAAAGGAAGAAAGAAAGAAAGAATAAATGAAAAAAGCACCATAGGAGAAAAGAACTCTGTGATATACTTTGTGTAAATCAAATGGTCTTTGTCCTGAATTGGCTAGAAAATGAATTTTTATGTTACAAAATAAAAGGTTTTAAGTATACGTTTATTGATGAGGATTTATTAAAGTATAGAGCCAGGATTCAAGTCCAGGCAGTCAGCTAGATGTGGTGCTACACATCTGTAAGTCTAGGATTTGGGAGGTAGAGCTGGAAGTTCAAAGCTATCCTGGGCTACAGAAGAAACTCTGTCTCAAAGAACCAAGGAAAGAAAATAAAAGGACAAATTTTAAAGCTGCATGTGATATGTTGGACCTGTATTTCCAGCACTTAGGAGTGGAGGAAGACAACCAGTTTAAAACCTTTCTTTGCTACATAGTATCAGGCTAGCCTGGGCTATATGAGACAACCCCCTCCCCCTTTATTAAAGTGGAGAGACCTACTTTTCTTTTTCTTTTTTTAATGTGCATTGGTGTTTTGCCTGCACGAGAGTGTCAGACTCCCTGAAACTGGAGTTACAGACACTTGTGAACTGCCATGTGAGTGCTGGGAATTGAACCTGTGGAAGAACATCTAGTGCTCTTAACCACTGAGCCATCTCTCCAGCCCCCATGAGACCCTTTTTTTAACAACACCATCATCACCCCATACAGACCATGTGTTCTCAAGACCTTTCCCCCACCGTAGAGCTGTGAGCTCACCACCAGCTGCCCAGTTTGTTTCTGACTGTCCTCATCAGGATATTAGCACAAAACATCATTTTGGACCTCTTGTAGAATCTGGATAAAATAAAATGGAACAGAACAAGCAAATAGCTAACTATTCAGGCCAAGATGAAAAACAACTTGAGCATTCTTTTATGTAGTTTTCCTATATATTAAGACTGGCCTTTGCTTTTTTTTTTTTTTTTTTTTTTTTTTTTTTTTTTTTTTTTTTTTTTTTTTTTTTTTTTTTTTTTTAGGAATGACAACAAAAGATTTTTTTTCCTGGTTTATAAACCAGCTCAGAATTACAACCAGAGGTCTTGACTTCCACTTGATAAATAGCACTTCCTCTTACTAAATAAAACAATAGGAGCCACACACGGTGGTGCCGTCTGCAGTTCCATAACTGACAGTGGGAAGGTGGTATCATGAGGTTCAGGGGTTCAAGACCAGGTGGTGGCACACACCTTTAATCCCAGCACTTGGGAGGCAGAGGCAGACGGATCTCTGTGAGTTTGAGGCCAGCCTGGTCTACAAGAGCTAGTTCCAGGACAGGCTCCAAAGCTACAGAGAGTAATTCTGCCTCGAAACCCTCCCCCAAAACCCAAACAAACAGAAAAAAAAAAAAAAAGAAGGCTAAAAGACAGTGGGAAGCAGTGTATCATACTGACTGAAACAGCATGGGTTTTGCAGTCAGACTTGGTTCTAACATCTGTGATGTGTTATCTCATGGTTAGCCTTTGTTTTTATCTTCTATAAAATAGAGATCATATTAGCTCTTACTGCACAGGACTATCTCAAGCATTAATTGACAGTGTCTTGTCTGACCTAATAAAAGGTCTTTGTGCAGAATTTATTTTCCCCATTATGAATCATTAACCTCTCTCCACATTTAGCAGTGTCTCCACAATTTTAATTTACTTGTTTTAAACAGAAAGACAGTTTTTCTTAATAATGGCTGTCCTGCATCTTCCCCAGCTTCGTGTAAGATGACTGCCTTGATCTTCCACATGCTTCTCCAGAACTACCATAGCTGAAGTCTAGCCTGGTTTACCAGAGAAGACTTGAACCTGTCCTCTAGCCCTAGCTCTTCGGAGTGTTCTCCCCATGGTCACCCCAGCAGTTTTTGCAAACATGTTGATACTGTCCTGCTTGGACCAGGGCAGCAGTATCAAAAGATATCAGTTGCTCTTTCTGATGCCCTCAGAAGTCCGGTGCTTAACCCCAGCTCTGTCACCACCCTTCCTCCTTTCACTAGACTAGAACGCTAAAATGTCCCCTAGTACCAATTCTTTTTGTTCTAGGTTAGTGTTGGGTGATAGAAAATTCTTTCAAGATGGATTAAATTCCTTTGTCTAGTCTGATAGCCATGGGGCATGTTGTTGTTGGGTTTAGGGATGTAACTAGTACATCTAAGAAGCTGGACTCTTTGTTTTAGTTAAGTGCCACTCCTGTGAGAGGACAGGTGGGCCAGAACTTCTGGGTGCACTCTTTTTTTTCCCAGAGTGCTCATAGGGATTTTGAGATGAGATCTTATTCTACATTCTTAGCTGGCGCTGAACTCACTGTGTAGCCACCCTCGTGCCTCAGCCTTTCAAGTGCTGGGGTTACCAGTGTATGCTGCCACTTCTGGCCCTTGAGTACTCTCTTTTTTATTCTTCCTGGCTATTTGCTACTTTTCCATCAAATTTCAGCTTACTACTTTAGGGAGATTTTTCCTGACTTACCTGCCGGTTGTTTTAACTTTGGCACAGTTGGCTGTACCTTAATCTAATACTATTTCAACCAGCAATTGCAACTCCACAGTTACCAACCTGCTTCTCTGGCCATAATCTGACTACTCAGGCCGCAGCCTGGTGGGAATTCTCTTCCCACAGTTCTGTTGCTGCCATGAAAGGTGGCTTTAACTGAATCTCTGTCGTTCTATTTATAAATAAGACTAGAGAGTCAAAGGCTGGCATCAACCTGCCAACTCAGAGGCTGAGTAGCAACAGCGAGCCTTCTCTCCTTGCTGGAGTGTCTCCAAAAGAGTGTCCTGCTTTGCTAAAACAGAAATGAAATCCCTCCCTACTCCTGGTGCCTCCTTATTATCTCTTCCAGATGCCCTCTGATGCTCTTTGATCATTTTTTATCAACTAACTGCTAACTCAGCCTCCTGACCCAAGGTTAATTTTATTTAACACAAATGGAAATTCTGGGTTTAGAATGTGATTGAATAACCCCCAACTTTCCCCCTTTTTGTCTGAATAAAAAGGAAAGATTTAAACTCTAACACAGTAAAACTATATCAAATAAGATATCAAGTAGATCAGTAAGAACAAATATCAAGTAAGGATTACATTCACAATGTCCAGTCCATTTGCATTTGGCAAATTCAGAAAAATTGCTCTAACCCAGTCTCTCTTGGTGTGTCTAAAGTGGTACCTAATTTACTTTGTGTCCTAACTTTTATTGCCAACCGCAAACTATCTTTTTAGACCTCAAAACATTTTCTTAGATAAACAATTTAAGCTTTTATGTCTCTCAACTTCATACATTTTATACCTCTTTTGTGAGTTTCTTTTCTGAATTTGGTAACAAGGAAAACTGTAACTACAACATCTCGTGTTCAGCTCCATCAGAGACCCAGGAAGGATCTAATAGTACTGTTACCTGAGTAAGCAGGAAGTGCAGAGAAAAAACTTCCAAAGCTATAGAAATGACAGAAGCATTTGGCTGCCTGCACAGCCACCAAGGTTCCTCTGCAATGTTGGTGTATCCATCTTTGGCCTACAGGTTCAAAATGTCTGACAGGCTTTTCTGTGAAGCAGGATTTTTGAAGGATTGTCATACCTTGACTTAGCAGAGTTCAGCAGTCACCTTTTTTTGTGTCCTGCTCATCCAATTTAGACAGCGTAGTGTCATCTGTCAAGGAAAGGGCAGTTTCTTACCCAATGACTGACTTGCCACAATAAAAGCAAATTCCATATGGAGGTTTTTCGATGCCCATCATCTCCCCCCCCCCCTTTTTTTTTTTTAAGTAAATTGGTGCTGACAGGAGCAGATGTGTCTCATTATCATGAAAAGTCTTAGGTTACTAAAATATCTTTTTTTTTTTTTTTTTGATTTTTGACACAGGGTTTCTCTGCATATCTTTGGAGCCTATCCTGGAACTCACTCTGTAGACCAGGCTGGCCTCAAAGTCACAGAGATCCACCTGCTTCTGGCTCCTGAGTGTTGGGGTTAAAGGCATGCACCACCACTGCCCAGCTATTAAAAAGCCTTAAATGCCATATACTATAAGTCTTAAGTGTTTGAAGACTGCCTATCTATCTAAAATATATCTGTGTTTAACTTTGAAAACAAATCTAACTACAAATTTGATTATTATAATTGACTAACTACTAGGCTGTATTTCTTTCTTTTTTCTTTTGGTTTTTCGAAACAGGGTTTCTCTGTGTTGCTTTGGAACCTGTCCTGGAACTCATTCTGTAGACCAGGCTGACTTCAAACTCACAGAGATTCACCTGCCTCAGCCTCCTAAGTGCTGGGATTAAAGGCGTACGCTGCCACCACCCGGCTTAAGCTGTATTTCTTAATTATACATTTTTAAATGAGCTGCAAAATAAAACACCTTAAACAAGAACAGAAACATATATAGTATAACAAAAATAATCTTAAATTTATATCAATATACAAAAATGTCTTAAGAGTAGAAATATATATATATATATGTATAGTGTAGCAAAAATAACCTTCTATTTGTATCAATATGCAAAAACACCCTAAAGAAAAGTAGAAATATATATGGAGTATGTTCTAACAAAAATAATCTTAAATTTGTATCAGTATACAAAAATTCATACCAGTTTAAAATACTTGTTTTTTAAAGTAGATTTAATAATTTACTCTTTTATCCTATCCTTGTTATTTTTGTCTCATGTCTCTGCTACTTTCCTATATAATTTTAATCACAGCCAGAGTTTACTAATTAATAGTTGATAGTCCTGGAAGGATGAGACGAGCCCATAAGATGAAGGCCAAGCCTGGCCTACAAGAACTGTATTTGATCTGTCCACTTTTATGTAGTCTGCTGCAGTGAAGTCAGTGCTTGGCACTTAGTAGAAGCTGAGTAAATCCATCACATGGTAGAACATGCACATTGTGTCTGCTTTCCAATGTAACACAGTTCTTGGGAAACAGTGTGCAAGATGGTGTTTTTGTTTGCTCTCCTCTGTCCACAGTTAACGCTCTGACAGATGACTCAGATTATATATGCACAGAGACTGCAGAGAGAATGAATATAGGGCCTACACATAGGTGTCTGACTTTGGAAAATCCTAGATGTTGTACCTATTGCTTTCCTGGTGGCCTAGTACAGGCTTTAGAGGGTGTGTCTTTTTATCTACTTGTCATGTATAATCTAGGTTCCCAAGTATATATATAATAAATAAACATTTCAGTATATAAATATATATATCATGCTATATATCACAAATAGCACAGAATCTAATAGTTTTTTTAAATGCTGACTGACCATACTTTGAAAGCTATAGCATTATTTATGATGATAAAGTGAAATTCCTGCTACAGAGGCAACTATAAATGCAAAGTATTTTAGTTTTAATAAAGATAACAGGTTTCCTCTCCCATGTTAACTGAAGTTGCAGAAATGACTAGATAAAAATTCAAGAATGGGGGGGGGGGCTGGAGAGATGGCTCAGAGGTAAAGTACACTGGCTTCTCTTCCAGAGGTCCTGAGTTCAATTCCCAGCATCAACATGGTGGCTCACAACCATCTGTAATAAGATCTGGTGTCCTCTTCTGTACTGCAAGATACATGCAGGAAGAACCCTGTATACATAATAAATAAAAATCTTTAATTAAAAAATTCAAGAATGGATACAGTTCTGAAAAAAAAGCCAACATGTGTCTGATGGTTTATTATATGCTGTCTGTCCTAGTTCTTTTTAAATTACATATAATTCTTTTTCTGTATCTGGAAAGATTGTTTTTCCAGCACCTCCACATCTCTGGAAGGTGGGAAATAATAGTAATGGAGGACAGAGAACAGAACAGAAAAAGTAAGCATGGCTGTTTTTAGATTCAGGGACGCTTTCTAACCGGGAATGGAAAAACCCATGACATGCAATTATACATTTGCAGGTGGATTCTGAAGAGCCAGTCTTTGAGGCCGTCATCAACTGGGTGAAGCATGCCAAGAAGGAGCGAGAAGAATCCTTGCCTGACCTCCTACAGTATGTTCGGATGCCCCTGCTGACCCCCAGGTACATTACTGATGTGATAGATGCTGAGGTAAGTCATGTCAGGATCTCGGTTATCCAGAACCTCCACTAACTCCACACTTAGTGTGTATAATCAGGAACCAGTAGTATTAATGTAGGGCCACTTGGTTCCCTTCAGCGGGAATGCTGAAGAGGTAGAGCTGGGAACTTCCTAGGCGTAAGGAACGTTAATGCTTGTCAAGTCAGGCTCTGTCAAGTGAACATTCACAATTTAAATTTGTGCTTTGTTATCTTTTTGTTTTATGTGCTTCTGAGGCTTTTATAATGAACTGTGTTTCCTCTCTGTTAAACATTTTTTTTTCATAAATTGTTCTAAAAAAAAAAAAAGGAGAGTTACTTTGCTTAGCAAACCATGATTTCACTTCTAGTAAATCTGATGTACTTAGTTTGATGCAGTTGAGCTTTCTGTTGTTCTTTAAACTCTTTCTCTAACAAGTTCTCTGTGGTGACGTTTTTATAGTTGATATATACTGTTACCGTAAGGACCAGCCTTCAGCAGCTCTTGACTTTTCTATCTGAGGGAGTAAAACTTAATTCTCTGGGACTGGCGAGGGAGAAAAAACTTAACTCCCTAGGGTCAGCAATACACACACACCTTCAACATGTCAGGACCTCACCTAGGGTGCTGAGAACGTCAAGCCTTCAGCAGGTCAGAGACACTGAAGGGGAGCTGCAGAGCAGGAGAACCACTGGACAGACAGACACACACGAGGACTTTTCTGAGGGCCAAATTAGTTCTTTGTTTTATTATCTTTGTTCTAATCTATTCCTTTTCTATTCTTTCTACTCTGATGTTTCCCCAGTCTCTCTTGATGTCTTTCTTCTGTAACTTTCCTGGTTTTCCTTATCTCGTATATGTTTTTCCCTTACAGCTTATATACCTGAGTAGAATCTTTCAAACAATATAAAAATTACGACATGGCTACATACAAGTTTATCTTTACAATGAATACAAGTGAAAAACAGAGTGTTTTCCATATCCCTTACATGATTAAACATTTTACGTATTACAGGTGAAAAACAAATTATTCCCAAGAATCCACATACATTCATACCCAAGCACCTGTTACAGATTAATAGAGTGTAAGCAAGCAAGGCATTTTTCTCAGTATTTCTTTTACTGGCAAGTTGCATTTTGTGGTTACAAAGAAAGGATCAATCACTTTATTACTTACCTCAAAAGATAATCTTATAAGGAATCTTAAAAGAATCACAAATCTAGACGTTTTTATATGAAAAACAAATCAGTCAGCTACTTTAAATCCTCAGGGTGCATACCCTCTGTCAACAGTCAACACTTGTCTATATTAGGAAGCTGAGGGCAGAAATGGTTACAAGGAATTGATCATCACCCTTGATCACCAACCCATCCTAGCAAAAAAGGTATGACTCCAGCAATAGCCACGCTGTCATTGTTCTTGTTTCTTGACCTCAATGAGTTTCTCACTCAGCTATTAAAGTGAGTAAAGTGTGCCCTTTTTTTGTTTTTGTTTTTGTTTTGTTTTTTTGAGACGGTTTCTCTGTAGCTTTGGAGCCTGTCCTGGAACTCTCTCTGTAGACCAGGCTGGCCTCACACTCACAGAGATCCGCCTGCCTCTGCCTCCCGAGTGTTAGGATTAAAGGATGTGCTACCACCCCACCTGGATTAAAGGGTGTCTTTCTAAACTTTACATTTTCCAAGATTTTCTACCTCAAAGCCATTAACAAAATCATCTTAACCTAACCTTAAGTAATTATTTTTTTTTCTTAAATTTTATTTAAGACTTTGTTTGAGCTATAATGCATACTGAAACCTGTAAACACATCTCCCAACATTAAGATGTAAAGAACTTGAGTTAGCTTGGCTTCTGGGACTCAACTGTTTCTCTTAATCATTAACCTAAGCCACAGTCTATATGGCTCCTTAAGAGAAACTAGCTGTGTGACTTTTCCTTGTTCTATTTTTCTCTCTTCTTCTGCAGCCTTTGTTTTATCAGGGGTATGGGCAACACTTTAAACAGTACAGTTTAAGAAAAAAAATCATCTATAAAAATAATCCACAGGGCCGGGCGGTGGTGGTGCACACCTTTAATCCCAGCACTCTAGGAGGCAGCGGCAGACGGATCTCAGTGTGAATGGGCGTGGGAGATCCCACTGACCTAATGTAGTGTCACACACCAGATAAAATGGCAGTGGCAAACATGCAAAGACACAACAGTAGCAAGAGGCATTTTGGTGCCGAGGCTTTCGGGGCTTTGCCTACCAGAGATTTACCCATCAGAACTTTGCTTCTGGGTGGGCTGATCTCCTGAAGACAGTTGCCACCTGCTGCCCTGACATGGCTGCTGGCATATATATGTATACCATCTGTGTTTTCTGGAGTGCTGTCCTCCTTTGCTGTGATAAAGACCATGGCCACAAGCAGCTTGGGGAGGGCAAGGAACCCAGGGCAGGAGCTTAGAATAGGAACCTGGAAGTAGGAGCTGAAGCAGAGACCTTGAGGAACACTGTTACTGGCTTGCTCCCATTGACTTGCTCAGCTTGCTTTCTGATACAGCCCAGGGCCACCACCTGCTAAGAAGTGGTACCTCCCACATCAGTCACTAATAAGAAATGCCCTGCAAGGGCTGGAGAGATGGCTCAGAGGTTAAGAGAATTGACTGCTGTTCCGGAGGTCCTGAGTTCAATTCCCAGCAACCACATGATGGCTCACACCCATCTATAATGAGATCTGGTGCCCAGAACACTATATACATAATAAATAAATTAAAAAAAAAGATATGGCCTGCACATCTAATCTGATGGGGGCAGTTCCTTAATTGAGGTTCTCTCTTACCAAGTGATTCTATATTGGCATAACTGTATTTTGGCAAGCACTGATTTATAACATATAGGCAAGGCCCATCTTGGCCAGGACTCAGTCGTTTTGAAAATTAACCATAAAAATGGTTTTTTAATTGTTTAGTTTACAAAATTTGCTAGGTCTGTTGGGATGAAGGCCTATAATATCAACTCTTGGTAGATGGAGCTAGGAGGATCGATAGTTCAAGGCCAGCCTAGGCTAAATGAGAACTTGTCTCAATCAAATAAATAAAAGGTAGGGACCTCCCCCAAAATTTAAAAGAAAAAACAAAAAACAGGAGGCCAGGCGGTGGTGGCGCGTGCCTTTAATCCCAGCACTTGGGAGGTAGAGGCAGGCAGAACTCTTGAGTTAGAGGCCAGCCTGGTCTACAAGAGCTAGTTCCAGGACAGGCTCCAAAGCTACAGAGAAACCCTGTCTCAAAAAAAAAAAAAAAAAAAAAAAAAAAAAAAAAAAAAAGAAGAAAAAGAAAAATCAGGCCAGTTAGTGTCATATCTCAAATTCATTTTTTTGCTATTTGTGATTTCTTTCTTAAAACATCTCTTTGCTAGTTTTCTTCTCTCTGTGACAAAATCCCCGAGAAAGTTCAGGGAGAAGGGTGTCACAGTGAAAAGAGCCCTCCTGAAGAAGGCATGGCAGAAGAAACACGAAGCAGTGGGTCCCTCGCCTCCACAGTCAGGAGGCGGAGAAAGGGGTGCTGGTGCTCAGCTGACTTTTCGTTAGGTGTGGTACCCCAGCCCGTGAGGTAGTGTGACCCACATTAACCTTTCTGGAAACACCTCACAGATATCACCCATTGTCGTGTTTCCTAAACCAATCACACCCTTCTATCTAGGTCTTTATATTGTGGCTTTGAGGGTGATGACCTCATATTTTTTTCCTGTGAAACAGAACTTACTTTACCCCCCTTATACATTGCTGCTGCCAGTATTCATATATAAAAGCTTTTAGAGTCACGTCTTGTACAACAATATTTGCTGTTATTTACTTTTCCAATGCATTACTGAAAATATCTTGGAGTCAAGCTAATAAACAAGAGCTTATATGAGTTGGAGATCCTAACAGGAAACAGATGGTGTTCTCCACATGGTACAGTCTAAGGAGGGCATACTGATATAAAGGAGCTGTTTACAAAGGTATAAGTTTGGAGAAACAGCTCTCAGTCTGGATAGCCTGGGTGGAGAAGTGGTTTTCAGAACCTGAGGGGAAAAAGCAGGTGGAACCACTGTTTTGAGAGGAGTCTGGACCTTCAGTGGGACTCATCCCAGTATGGAGACTGACACAGTTTATATGGGCCAATCTTCTGAACCAGAGAGCTAACAGAGAAGGGCACAGAGAATCTGTGGAAGCGGATGCTAAAACAGAGTTCTGTTTTCTATGTGGGTGTATGTGTATACACATACGCATGTACACATAGGCCAGAGGTCAATTGTGGGTGCCATTCCTCAGGCCATCTGCCTTGATTTTTGAGATATGGTCTCTTATTGGTTGACCTAGAGTTTCTGATTAGGCTGGCAACAAGCCCAGGGATTTACCTGTCTCTCTGCTGGTGTTGGGATCACACGTTCAGGGTACCCTGTCTGGGTTTTTATGTGGGTTCTGGTGATGGAACTCAGGTCATTGTGCTTACATGGCAAGGAATTTACCAAAGTAAGCCATCTTCGACCCATATAGAGCACTGTTGGGAATAGATGTCGTAACTGGGCTAATGATGAATTCATGCCTGTAATCTCAGCACTCAGGAGGTGAAGGCAGGGACAACCTGGCCTACAGGGACCCTGTCAGAATGAAAGGATGAAAAGAGGGAAAGAAAGGGAGGCGAAGAAGGTAGGGAAGTGGAGAGGGCTTTGGGGAAATTATTTCAGAGAAGATTTTATTTTTCCAAAAGAAAGCATGCATCTTGTCTTTTGGAGACAGTGTCTCACTCTAAATCAGGCTGGCCTAGAACTCAGTATGTAGCCCTATATTGGCTTTGAAATCTCAGCAGTCCTTTGTGTCAGCCTGCCAGGGTGTGAGGCCAGCATGCTCAGCTTCCCTTAAAATTCTTACTGACCGCCAGGCGGTGGTGGCGCACGCCTTTAATCCCAGCACTCAGGAGGCAGAGGCAGGAGGAACTCTGTGAGTTCGAGGCCAGCCTGGTCTACAAGAGCTAGTTCCAGGACAGGCACCAAAAACTACAGAGAAACCCTGTCTCGAAAATCAAAAAAAAAAAAAAAAAATTCTTACTGACCATTATTTACCGTGTTGACATAAGTAAATGCTTCTTCATGTCATTTTGTTCTTAATATTAGAAATGTCTTCTGTATTTTAGCCTTTCATCCGCTGCAGTTTACAGTGCAGGGATCTAGTTGATGAAGCAAAGAAATTTCACCTGAGGCCTGAACTCCGGAGTCAGATGCAAGGACCCAGGACAAGAGCCCGTCTAGGTAAGCTGGTATTTCTGGCAGAGTGAGGGGCAGTTTTCAGCCCTAGCTGTAATACAGACAGTGGACTTATTTCAGACCTGCTTTTATTCTTCATAGACAAAGCACTGCCATTTTAAACTTTTATTTCCTATAATCTGAGAGTATCTTTATGTCACATAACTATTGGAGAGTAAACTAGGTAGAGGGAAAACATTTTATAAATTTTATAAATTATATATTATGTAGCATTAAATTTTTGTTTCAGAATCTAAACAAAGGGCTCAGAGCTGGGGCTGTAGCTCAGTTGGTAGGGTGCTTTCCTAGCCCTGGGTTCATTCCCCAGCACAATATAAACT